GAGCCGCACGGGGCCCTGGGACACGGGGGCCGCTCTGCACAGAAAGTCCGTTTGCGTTGAGGCCGTCTGCTGGCCGGGTTTCACGGCGGGGCCCGGGAGCTGGCCCCTTTCACGTTCACACACATTCTCTGTTTCTCTGCACGCAGTTCTCACGCGGAGTCGAGACCACCCGTTCAGTGTGCTGTGGCCCAGATGCTTTCTCCTTGGAGTCAGAAGGCCCAGATTCCCAGGCCACGGGGGGAGGGGGGGGACAGGGAATGCCAGGGACACTGCTGGGGCCGCGCGGGGAGCTGGGCCGCAGCTGAGTAGCTGAATCGGAAAACCAGGCTTGAGTCTCGAACTCTGCTTGACCTCGATGTAAAGGCTACTAAGATGGGACATTTCGAGAACAAAGCAGGTGTGAACTTCCAGGCCGAATGGGTGACAAGTGGCTCCCCAACCCTCGAGTCCCTCGGCTAGAAGCCCCTCAGCCATTCTGGGAATATGAAAGGGGGGACAGAGGAGCACGTGGAAGGCCAAGTCCCCACCCCTCACCCATGGGGTGCTCTCTTCTACTTGGCCTTAGTGTGGGGGCTCAACAGACCACTTGGGGAACTTGAAATATGCTCCCAGCAGTTAGGAGGCCCAGGCGACAACTAATGTCTTACTCGGGCCTGAGGAGCCAATGTGGCCACAGCCAGAGGACAGCGGGGGCCACGCGAGGGTCAGTTGTACTTGCAGGTCTGTAGAGACAAGGACGAAACGGCAGCGAGGAGCTGGAGGTGGGCACAGACTCTGAGGGCCCGCGGGAGAGCCTGCGAGAGGGAGCATTGGTGTTACCAACCGCCGCCTGGGGTTGGCGCCACGTCCTCACCACTAAGACCGCTCACCGCTGAGACCGCCCTCTCCAGTCGCCTGTGGTTTGCAAGCCGAGGGAGGCAAAGACACGCTCTGGGAGGGAGAAGGGCCCAGCACCCCTGCACCTCCCCCCGCCCACGAGGAGTCAGCCTGAACCCTGGCTAGGGCAGAGGAAGCCATTTCATGCCAAATCAGCTTTGGAGTTCTGATTCTCACACGGAACCAGCCTTCTAAGGCCCGAGTTGGGACAACGTGTGACCCCAAGCATCTGCAGGACCGTCATGCACGTGCCAAGGCTGTCACTGGGGCGGGGCGCTTACAGCGCGGCAGGGACACAGGGCGGTGGGCGCTGAGCTCAGAGCACCCTGGCCCCCACATGCATCCCGCTTCTTCCACTGCTGGGTCCAGGCGTGACCAGTCCAGGCTCTGCCCCTTCCTCCAGGCATCAGACGAGGCAGCCCCACCTGCAGAATGAGGATATCGGCCCCCGCCTCACAGAGAAGCTGTGAGGGTCCCGGAATGAACACACGGGGAGTGCCGAGAACAGCGCCTGGCAGAGAACACGCTCGATGCACGTTTGCTGTCATTATATCATCGTCGTCTCTGAGCCTCAGCTTCCCGCCGTGAACCAGCCGTGTGGTTGCTCATGCAGGTGCACATGCTCTCCGACACTGCTCCCGCTGAGTGATCGGGTTGACGTCCCCTCTCCTTGGACCTGGGCAGGCCTTCGTGACCACCTTGACCCACAGAGTGTGGCAAAAGCAAGGCCATACGACTTGGAAGGCGGGTCATCCAGACGCCGTGAGGCAGCTTCCGCCCTGCTCCTGGGACTTCCTGTCTGGAGAACGCTGCCATGTGAGCCTGACGACCCCGAGGCTGCCACACGGTGAGGAAGCCCGGGTCACACGGGAGGCCGCACGTACACAGGTGTTCTGCTCAGCTGCCGCTCCAGCCGACAGCCGGCGCCAAGCAGATGACCGCGGCCCCCGCCACGAGTCCCGCTCAGTGTTTGAGTCCTGCCAGCCGAGGCCCCGCGTGCTGTGGAGCAGACAAGCCTCTGGCTGGGTCCTGACCTGCAGAGTGCACGCGTGTCGTGAAGTGGCTGTCACATGCCGTGGGGTCCTGGGCGTCGGTCACGCAGCCACGGTCGTGGTACGGCTGGCGAGTGGTGAGCTGGAGCTGCGGCGAGGGCCCTCTGGCCCCCTGCCAGCCTCGCGCTGTCCCTCCAGCGGGACGGGGCCGGAGCTGCCCGCGAGGGCCACGAGCTCACGTGCCTGCGTGGCACGTGACACCGTGCCAGGGGCTCCTCCGTCGCGGCCTCGGCTGTGAGCTAAGCCGGTGCCGGGTATTCATGCCTCCTCCCCTTTCCCCGGTAGGGAGACTGAGGCTCAGAGGATGCCGCCAGCGGCCCGCGCTCCCCCGGCCACGTGCTGGAGCCGGGCTCTGAACTCCGGTCTGCGGACTCCAAGGCGGGCTTTCGCCCTCCAGGTGATAAAACAAGGAAGACGGAGAGTCGTGGGGGCGGGGGGCGTCCTCGAGGTGCGAGGGCAGAGGCCCGAGGCCAGGCTGAGGTCCCCCGCACACTCGCTTTGCTGCCAAGGTCTCAGAGGGAAGCCGTCAGCTGGCCGAGCGGCGCGGAGGCGGGTCTAAGGCGGACGCGCTTCCAAGGCACACACGAACGTGACCCGCCCGCTCTGGGGGTCAACGTTCTTTACGATCTTTGCTCTCCAGGAAAATATGAGTTCATTTACACAAACTAAACATCGCACACGGGGGGAAAACTGAAAACGTGGCA